GTGTTACACACCTTGATGTCAATTGAATACCCAAATATTTCACCTTTTTTCACCACCTATATGTCCAGTTTCCCCATCAACACTCTCTTCTGTTTTTCTGTCATATTTTTCACCAGAATTTTTGTTTTATCTTTATTAATCTTCAAACCCGCTACTTCTCCATATTCTTCTATTATTTTAACTAGTTTTGGCCCTGTTTCTATTGGATCCTCCATAATAAACACCAAATCATCTGCAAACGCTTGTAATTTATACTCTTCTTTCTTGACCCTCATGCCTTTTACCTTTTTATTTTGTCGTATTTCTCTATTCAAAATCTCTAGTGTCAGTATAAATAATAAGGGCGATAGTGGACATCCTTGTCTAGTTCCCTTCATAATCGCTATCTTTCCTGTCATATCACTATTTACTATTACCTTTGCCGATTGGTTATTGTATATTGTTTTAATCATATTTATAAATCCCTTACCAACACCCATAGAGAACAGACTTTTAACCCACCCCTTCCTTGGTTTGTTCCAAAGATAATTCCTATAGGGAGGCAAACTAAGAAGGCACAGGCAAAGAGCATTCCTTTGGTGGTGACCGGTGTAAAAGAATGCCTCCCCAGACGGCTTCATTTCTTATGTTTAGAGATTACACTGGAAGACAGCTTTTTCTGCAAAAAGTGAATAAGATGAGAGCAATAATTGGACAGTGTTTCCAGGTGGGGTCTGCCTAATATAAACTTCAGCAGCAAGCCCAGATCCTGAAATATATGGAGTTTTACCTGATTTTCAACTGGTCAGCTGTCAAGAAATTGAATTCTGGTTCCTATTGCTAATGGAAAGAATACAGAATGACCTATGGTGGATCCTGACAGAAACCAGGTGGGATGGTTCGCTGTGAATTGGCACAGGGTGTGCTACCTCTAAGTGGCAGAGAGAGAGAAAGAGGAGCCCTGTGTGTTCTATGTCACACCATGGTCAAGCAGAACTTATCTCACAAACATGGACAGGCGGGCACAGCTCCCTTCCATAGCTGATTCACAGCCCTAGTATTTAAAGATGGGACATAGTGGCTCAGTGGCTAAGACGCTGAGCTTGTCAATCAGAAAGGTCGGCAGTTTGGCAGTTTGAATCACTAGTGCTTTGTAAGGGAGTGAGTTCCTGTTACTTGTCCCAGCTTCTGCCAACTTCGCAGTTCGAAAGCATGTAAAATGCAAGTAGAAAAATAGGGACCACTTTGGTGGGAAGGTAACAGCATTCCATGCGCATTGACCTTTTAGTCATGCTGGCCACATGACCACAGAGACATCTTCCGACAGCACTGACTCTTTGGCTTTGAAACAGAGATGAGCACCGCCCCTAGAGTCAGGAACGACTAGCACATATGTGTGAGGGAACCTTTACCTTTGTGATAAGGAATTTGTAAACAGCTATTGAGACTGATAACCATTGAGGGTCCAATCTGTGCATTTCATAGAAGCATGGAATCACAAGGTTGGAAGAGACGAGGCAGGAGTCCACGTATGACCTCATACAAATAGTTGTCCAATCTTTTCTTGAAAACCTCCAGCTATGGAGTGTCCACCATTCCAGAAGACATGCTAATCCATTGCTTAATAGTGTCAGGAAATTCCTCTTCATTTCCAGGTGCCCATTCCACCCATTGCTTCTTGTCCAGCCCTCTGGTGCTGTGGAGAATAGATCAATGGTAGCCTTTCAAGTATAGGAAGGCTGCTGTCATGTCTCCCTTCAGTGTTAAGCTGAACATACCTATCTTCATAAGATTTAGCCTCCTGACCACTTGTCTTTGTTGCTCTTCTCTACACACTTTCTAAAGCCTCATCATTTTTGTATCGCGTTGACCAGAACTAGATGCAGCATTCCAAGTGTGGCCTCGCTAATGCAGTATAGAGTGGTACTATCACTTCCTGTGATCTTGATGCTATCCCTCTGCTGATGAACTGCATTGGCTTTTTTTGGCAGCTGCTGGCTCATATTCAAGGAGTGATCTATTAGGCCATCTAGATCTCTCTCACAGTTACTAGTATTGACCCAGGTACCATATATTCTAGGTCAATCTCACTTTGTCTAGGTAGTTCATAAGGGAGAGAAAGTGGGTGCACTCCAGCATCTTTATACAACTATCATTTCAGTAGTTATGAGAAAAAACTATGCCCGAGAAGATTGCTTTCCATCGAAATGGCACTAAAAAGAATTTTAAAAGATACCAGTTCAGATCCTCAACCTTGTGTATGAATGTGGACAGATCAGCAGAAAAGCAGAATGCCGGTTTCTACCAAGCAAATTGTCCTTTGGTTATTGGGATGTGTCCCACAAGGATTGTCCTTGCTTCATAGGGATTAGAAGAATCCAGGAGGGGCCTTGCCACCAGGGCCCGGCAGCCTTTAGGGAACTGGCCGGGCTTTGGGACTATTTCTGGCCCAATCTCAAGTTCTAAAGGTTATCTAAAGTTCTGTTTTGTGAACCATCTAGCATACTTTTGCTATTGCAAAAGATCAAATTTAGTAAAATGTAAAAAAAAAAGATGTTTCTTAGATTGTTTCTTGCAACCAAATAATAAGAAAAACTTTCCAATTGTTTCATCCTTTATCAAGTTTCCATTTTCTCTCCACAAGTTTCCAGCAGCCCCAAAAGCTCCTCCACATCACCTGGACCACCTGTCTACATGGACTTGGCTTACATCCCCAACCATTGCAGTGGGAAAAACGCAGACCAAGAGTTCTTCAGGAGAGTCCGAGCTTCTTACTACGTTGTCAGTGGGAATGACTCCAGTAGTGGGGAGCCAAGTCGTGCTGTCCTGGATGCCTTGTTGGAGGGAAAAGCCCAGTGGGGGGAGAATCTCCAGGTAGGTGCCTGGCTGGCCTCCCTTTTTTCAGGATTGGTGGTGGCCAGAATTTCAGTGCAGTCCACAACCTTTTCACACGTGGTCCATATCTATTGTTTCCAGGTAACCCTAATCCCAACCCATGACACAGAAGTGACACGGGAATGGTACCAGCAGACACATGAGAAACAGCAGGAGCTGAAGATCATGGTCTTGGCCAGCAGCAGTACTGTGGTGATGCAGGATGAGTCTTTCCCTGCATGCAAGATAGAGTTCTGAGGTCTGAGCTTCCCCTCCTTTCCTTCCCCTCCCACGCAGCACTTGGAAGACCCATCTGCTCCCCACTGCTTGATTTGTTGCCTTTCCTGAGCGTCAGCTGAACTCAGCAAGAGCAGCACTCCATCCGTGTGTGGTTCTTGCTTGCCAGAGCCCCCAAGACCTGTCCCACATGCCTGGAGACGTGTGCAGAGTGGCCCCACCACTTCTTTGCTCTCCCTGGAATTGCTACCAAGGAGTTCAGCTCCCTTGATTTGGTTTGTCTGCCCTATCTGCCCTGTTCCTTCTCATCCCATGGCTGAACTCCCTCCTGCTGGATTCGTGGATCTGGCTCTTGGACAATCCTAGGAGGGAATGTTGGGGACCCCACTGGAAGAAGACAAAGGCCTGATGGAGAAGGCAAGGCTCTTGCCCTCTAGAGCAAGCCAAGCAAGGAGGTGGCCACAAGGCCCTACTTTCTGGGGAAGCTGAACCGAAGAGACGGTCTCAAGAGAACAGACATAAAGTGGCAAATGCTACTTTGGCAACTCAGGCCCTTCAGAGAGATGGCACAACCCATCTTCCCCTCTGTGGCACAATAATTTGAATGGGGGAGGTTCCTGTGATGATCTGTGCCCAGGCTGCCCTTTTGCCCTTGTCCAAGGGCCTGAGGCTGGGATGGCGTCTGCCACTGCACCCACAGCTCTCATCCTCTCAAAGGCCCAGCTGAAAGCAAAATCTTTCGCTTTCTGTGCCGAGGGCTTTCTGGATCAGCACATCCATGCAAAGCTGTCTGTGCCTGGGATGGGTGGGCGGTTGAGGCAGCAGCATTGGGAACTGTCCGGTGCAGTGCTGAGCAGGTTGCAAGAAAGCCTCCCTTTGTCCTCTGCAGGTATAGATCAGCTTGGAAGAACCAGATGATACCTGGCACTCTTCAAAGGAGAGGGCAGCTGAGGAGAAATAGAGCAGTGGTATTTTTTTCTAGTTATTGTTTAATTTTTTAATGACATGTATTTTTTCATGTACAGGTATAGTTGTTTTGCATTTGTGTTTAAAATGTTTTGACTTTTATTGTAGGCTCTTAACTCCCAGGTCACAGGGTACTCACGTTTCTAAATGCTGCAAACTGACAGAGGATGAAGAATTATCCCTCCCCCCCATCACATTTGAATTCTTTGGTCTGCAGGAGCCCAGATCAGCCTTGGGACACCTGGTTCTGGATGAGGGGAAATGCATGCCAACCTTTGTGGTTCTCGTGGCTTGAATTGCTGCCCTTCTGACTGGTGTTTAGCTAGCAGACCAAGTGTATGTCTGTAGTTAGACAAGTGAATGTTCTGACCCACTGATGAATGTGTCTTAGAAGCTGAAGCTAAGGGGGGGGGAGAGACAAAGAACTGTTCCTTCCTCTTAGGCAGTAGAAGGTCTCTGACCCATCTGCTCCTCCTCTTCTTCCTCACACAGCCCTGCCTGAGAGTCACTCCAGTATTTTGTAATTTTGAAGCAAGCTTCAGCAGTCTCTCCTTGCCCATTTTACGGCAAAATTTATAAAAATGATTGCTCATCCTTAGCCATGAGAACCAATTTGACCTTTGGCAGCCCAAGGAGAAAAATACTGCTTCTGCTGTTCCTGCATGTGGCAATTAGTACCCGAGTACTCCTGTTCCTCTGACTCACTTGGCCTCGGGGCAAAGAAAGAGAAGCCACACATCTGCTGAGTGTGGTGGAAGTCTCAACTAAACAGCACAGTTCTCCTCTGGCCCTTTGGCTCCCCGTTAGGTCTGTCCCCCTCCAACATCTCGCCTGCCTTCATTTCTGTGTGCAATACGCTGTAATGCTAATATCCGCAAAGGAATGGGTCTGCGCTGACCAATAAAGCAACATTAACCACATGATCTGTGTGAGGCTCTCCCTCCGGCGCGCTGGTGATCGCGAGGCCAAGAGAACCATTTTGGCTCAGGAAGGCCCAGTTCCTCTCGATTGAAGGCACCTGGCCACAAGAATGGCCACAGACTGGCCCTGTGACCCCTGCCTCAATCCAGCCACAGCTGTGCACATTAAGAATTAGGAACATGAGTTCCCGAACGGGCTGTGCCCTAACAAACCACAGCACAGTGGAATAGCTTGATGTTGTACGTAAGATGCTCTGAGTCAATGGCTGGGTCCCCATGACGGGGTGCTGGAGGAGAAAGCAGCACAGAAGGAGTGGCTGTGCTATGGGTCTCTCTTCTTTGGCGCTGTGAGTCTGGCTGGGAAAGGGGAACTAGGGCTCACCAAGCCCCCTCCCCCCCAGCCTTCAGGTGGAGGGGGATTTCCAGCTTCCTCTTTGCTTCTTTGTTCTCTCCCCCTCCCTCTAGCTGCTGGCAATGTAATAGCTGTAACACTTTCTTTTAGAGATTGCATAGATCTCCCCCTCAGTCCCCAAATACCCTGGAGAACTCCTATTGGGCTGAAGAAAGGAGCAGAGAGAAATTGCCACTCTTTATGGGCAGAGATTCCCACAGGTTTTGGGGTCAAGGAGGATATCGGAGGGATCTGATTTGGGAGCAAGTTTGGGGGAAGTGAGAGAGGCCTTAAACAGGACAACTAAAACAACAGGCAGCGAGTGAAGGCTAATTAGCCAGCATGAAGAAGGAAGGCACTTCAAGATGACAAGCATCTGCGCTCGATTCCTGGACCTGGCCACATCTGGAAGGCTGAGCCCTTCCTCAGGCTTCATAGAGTTTGCACTCCCCACATCAGGCCCCAGACCAGCATGGGGAATGACCCCTCAAACGTTGCCACACAATTTAGAGGTGCTGGGCTGCTTCCGTTTGAGTAGCACATAAGCCTGCAAAGTGAAGTAAATGAAGCTGAGATTATCCTGGCAACGTCCCAGGCATCCGGAACCGACATGGCCAGATAGGTGGCCCAGCCCTATTTTTGATCCAGAGTCTGGCAACTGGAACTGTCCTCTGATCCTGGAGGGCTTGGTGGGCCTTGGAAGCCATTTCCCTGTGAAGAGAGTTCTCCTCGCTTCACAGCACTGGCACTTCTCTGCGGTTGGTGCTGTTCCCCCTCCCTGGTCTTCCCAGGACCCGGGATCTGAGCTGTGAGCAGGACTGTAGCTAGTTCAGCCATGCACCCACCTCTGCCTCTCGGCTGGCCTCAGGGAGTTCCGCCCTCCTCTGCGCTCTGGACTCAGGCACAGTATGGTAGCAATTGGGGTGAGGGTGGGCGGGTGGGAGAATCAGCCAGAAGTGCTGATGGGGAAAACTGAAATGGGCAGCAAAAGACACCCCCAGCGTGGTGCAGCAATCTTTGGGGCAGCTGTGGTATGCAACAGCTCTGAGTCATCACAGTGTTTAGAAGGATTTCTTTTGCCTTTATTGTACGTTATCTGCCCACTCTACATTCCACCTCCAGTTGCACAAACTCCCTGACAGGGCACACTTTTATTCCAGCTGCCTGTTTCCACCCTTTGTGTAACTCAATCAGAGATTTCAGCACACCACCTTTCCTAGGAAGCCCCCCACTCCACCCTGGGGGTCTTGGCAGTTTAACTGTCATTTCAACATCCAGGAGTCTGTTTGTCCACAGAGCCTCTCGCTTGAACTCCCTCCAGCCGGTGCAACCAAACTGCCCTCCACCCTTCATTCTTCCCCCTCCTGCTGCCTTAGCTCCTTCAGCAAGAAAAGGACAGCTAGAAAGCTCTCCCCACATCTGCCAGGCCAGGGGAAAGGGGGAGCAGCGTCTGCCCACAGGAAACTGTCTTGCCTTGCAGCTGTGGCAAGAATGCTGCCAGAGGGTTCTCCAGCTTGAGATAACACCCACAAGCATCTCTCCAATCTGCGGTCCCTCCTGGCCTGCGAAGGGCCCTGGGCTCCCTCCAGAGAGGTGCTGCCACACAGTTGCTGCAGCTCAAACATGGAATGTTATAGCAATCCACTTTTAACTCATTTCATCTGCCTCTTTCTTAGATGCAAATGATCTACTGAAAAAGCACTGCCAGAATGACCACACCAGGCTTTGGAGAAGCAGCCTGTCTGGAACCATTTCAAGCCATTGCCAAGAATGTGAGATGTGATTCTCCATTCAGATTGAAGCTGCTTTGCCTTCCTCCAGGCTGGAGGCCCTGGAATGAGTTGGCTGGCTCCTCCTGTACCCACCTGCCTCCCTGCTGCTTCCTTTTCCCAGAAGGACCAATTTGTTCTCCTCCTCTGCAGAGCATCTTTGGAGAATGTGGGAAAGCTGCTTGAAGGCCAACAGCCATAGGTCTCTGGACCCCTCCTTGTAAGCATCCTCAGAAGCACCCCTAAATTTCATTGGGGACTTCTCCTGTTGTGGCACATCTGTAGGGGGTCAGATTCCGAAGCCCATCTTCTGTGGTTCTCATGAACAAATCCAGGCAAATATGATGTGGCATCAACCATGCCTCCCCCTCCTTTGACTGGAGATTTGTAGAAATCAGACAGCCTTTTGGCCAGTCCTTGGCCAAACCTTGCTCCTTAACATCCTCACCTCCCCTGGCTTTCCAGGCCTCCTCAAACTCCTTCACAACAAACTGCTCCTGCCCAGGGAGGCTCTACTCTTCGGCCCCTTTTCCACATCCCTCTCCGGCCTCCCCAGAGGCTAATGAGGCTCTACGTCTCAGTCCAGCAGAGAATAATGATGCAACCGGGGCCAAGAGTGCTTTACTACAGATTGTACCTACAGCACAAGGACTTCGTAAGGGTGTCATAATTCAGAAACACAGAAATCTTAACCAGCAACACTTTGGACATGACATCTCCACCCCCCCCCTGCCAACCATTGATGCATAGAATATATTACTATTTGCACTTGGTAACACCCCCACCCCCACTCAGCAACTGATTTGTACATTTCTAAGAAAACCTGGTTCACTTGGTGATTCCAGCAAGGCTGGAAAGAGGCTTCAGGGAGGCCAGTCCGCTTTCTACACCATCCAAAGGCCAAAGCCATGTTCATCGCTGCTTCCGTGGCTTCACCAGAACCCCAGGGGAAATCTGGAGTGCACAGTCCCCTGGGCTGTTCCTGAAGCTTCCTCAGCTCCACTGGGGCAACATGGCTCCATGTTGGAGTCTTCACCGCTCTGGGCCTTGGCTGGTCAAATGGCAGTCTCCCAGGTGCTGCCGAGGAGCAGAAGATGCCCTCTCTCCCTAGGCAAGGTCCCTGAGCCCCTCGCTCGGGGGCCTTTTAGGCAAGATCTCTCACACCTCTTTGCTGTTCAGCCTGTCTGGCTCCGGCTCTGGGCCCCACGGCTGCCCCTCTCCCTCCTTCGACTGTTCTTCCCCCTCGGCTGAGGCCTCCTCCAACCGATTTTGCTCTGGCCCCACCGCCTCCTCCTCGCTCACTGCCAAGAGCTCCCCCCAAGGGATGAAGCCCTGCAGGCCCCCTTCTTCCACGCTGAGAAGTTCCTCACTGGGGGGCCTATCGCCAGGCTGGTCCTCGTGGAAGCAGCTGGCCAAAGGCGGCAAGAATTCCATGAAGCTTTTGCTGGAGGCCACATCAAGCAGGATGCTCCCCTCTGCAAGGCAAACATAAGGGGGACTGTCATGGGCAGATCCTTGGCCAGGACCCAGTACAGCATGATCTCTACAGCACCCTCAGCCAGAAGGAATCAAACACCCCCAAGACCCTCCTGCATGGGTAGCCCCACTTCCTGCTGCTCTATTGGCTGCCAAGTGCTGACAGCTGCAAAAGAGCAGCTTGAGAACTGAAGGGGTGGCAATGTTGCCACCCCTTCAGTTCCCTGAGCCAGCCATCACCCCCTGGCGAGACTCAGGTGGGCTGCTCTTCTGGCTACCCCAAAGCCTTTCTTTCCCATTCTCCAGCATAGGGCAACAACCACCCATTCCCTTCCAGAAAAAAGACTCCAGTACAGAAGAAACAGGGCACAGCCAAGGCTCCCCCAATCATTTCAGATGGGCACAGCCAGCACCCTGAGTCACTTGCAGCTCAGGAGTCTGGGTAGGCAAAGAAGCCATTGTTCCTGGGGCCTCTGGAGCCTTTAGCCCATCATGGCAGCAGCTCTTTTGGAAGGTTTTCTGCTCTTATTGGAAATTCATGGCTGCTGTGGTGCCCCACACCATGGCATGGGCTTCCTTTGGGGAAAGTCTTCAGCTGTTCCAATAGGTGTCTTGAGTTGCACTCAGAGCAAGGCCAGCAGATTTAGCCAAGGTTACTTGCACAAACCCTTTCTTGGGTTATCAACCTTGGTGCCGAGCAGATGGGAAGGTGGGGTGGATACCAATAGAATCAGGACTGCTTCTTCGGATGGTTTGTGAGCCTAGCTTGGAGATCACACAGCGGGGTGCTCACAGTTCTTCTCAGATACTCGGCCTGCCCTTCCCTACCTGCTGCCCAGGGTTGGTGCTGCAGTTTAGCTGACCTCCAGCCAGGATTGTTCAGGCACTGAGACCAACAAGAGATTGTGGTTGGCTCAGAAATGAGGTTATGGACCTCTAACAGATCTGCCTGCACTTAAAACTGGAAGGGAGGCTGCTGAGACAAGCCAGCTCTTCCCATTGGCTCTTTCGATCTGTAACTTTCAGCTCTTACCCCAATTGAATCCCGACTCCCCCTCTCCTGTGCTGAAACAGCACCCAGGACCTGCTGGACACTTAATCCTCATTCCCTGACATCTGACCTTCCTTTGAGCAGCTCCAGTAGTGCAGGGGAAGATTTTGGAACTCTAAAACTTGCCCAATAAAAGAAACCCCTAGGGGGGGTTGAACTCTGCAGACATCTTTGCCATTTGGGCTCCCCTGGCAGATTAAGGAGGGCCTTGGGGGGCTTAAACAACCATGACACTGTTCGTTTTGTCTTGGCATCCCCTTGGATGTCCTCCTGCTTTGGTATCCATTTGCCAGCAATACAAGAATTCTACCGCATGCCTGACCTTTTCACTTGTTCTGATCAATACCTACAAGCTGTCTCTGAATTAGACATGACGGCATGTCTATCAAAGGCGTGACACAAAGAGAAACCAAATAAATATGGCTTTGAGTTCAGAGCTGCAGCCCAGGATGCCCAGCCCAGAGGTCCCTGCCCTCTGCCCCCTCCCAAGGGGTTACCTGTGCCAGGCCTCGGCTGGGCGTTGGGGCAGCTCCCAGACAGAGTGGTCAAGAAATCGCTGACCTGGCGAAGAGAGAGGCAGTTGTGCAGTGTCTCCAATGGGTAGATGCTGGGCACCATGGAGCAGCCTTCAAACCCTGCAGACCAAACACAGCAGTGTCAGTGTTGGGGAGCCTTGCCCACCCAGCCTGCTTCCATTCCAATCACCCCAAACGTCAGCAGCAGCAGCTCTGACCCTTTCTGAGCCTCCCCCCCCCCAAATCAAAGCAGAAGAGCAGCAGAGCTGACAGCTTCCCCTTCACACTGGGGGCTGAGGGGGGTGCATCTGCAGTACAAGCAGCGATGAAAGCCATCTCCCAGGCCCCATCATTGTGGGGGGCTGGTCCTGGGCTGCAACCTTAATGCTTTTGGGACAGAAACCCCTGGACAGTCCAGGAAATGCTGCAACAGCAACTGGGAAAAGCGCCTCTCTGCAGATGCCTCCCACGCTTGTCCAGAGTGGCTGTGCTGCATAACAGCCCAGGTCTCATTCGCTGACTTGGTTTAAATTCATGCTGTTTTGTGCCATTTCTCTGTTTTATTCTAGAGAAAACCTGTTAAGGAGGTTAACACTGGAGGGCAGCACTATTTGGGGTGCATCAAGATGTGGGAGCAGCTATTGGGGACAGACAGAGACCATTGGGGCTGCCTCTCCTTTTCATTGTTTCATGAAAAATGATTGGCGGCTTTTTAAAGACGGCTCTGTGCTCTAAGAGTACTAAAACTGAGTTTTTATACAGGCATGACCTCACAGCCAGCAGGAGAGCTGCCCACCCCACCCATTGGGACAGTGGGGAAAGCAACGTCATGGTGGGGGTGGGGGGAAAATCTCTGCTTCCTTCCGATTTGGGTAGGAATGCCTGAAAAAAAGATAGCCAGATTCTCAGCTCAAATGCTCCTCAACTGGTACAGAGCAGAACAAATAAACCCAGAAAAAGCCGTGATGGACACACTTTGGTACTTATACAAATAGGAAACAGACCACAAGCATACCAATTTTTTTGGAGGGGGGATAAGAAAGTGAATGAGAGATATAAAGGGAGGATTATAGCTCAATGCCCATCTCCTAAAAAAACAAAAACATTTTCAGGGAAGGAGATTTCTACCTGTGTTATATCTTGCAAAATAGCAAAACCAGCCAAGTGTCATTGTTTTTTGTGGATCCCTGCACCAAGGCTGCTTAAGATTAAAATTTGCATTTTGGAAGGGGGAAGTTTCTTAACAAAATGGCTTCCCTCTCAAATAGTAGACAGGAGGTGACTGGCTCGGATGTGGGCAGGGTCCCTTGGTGGCCTTTCAGGTGCCTATGAACAGCAGCTCCACAACGGGCACAACAAAGCCATCGGCCCACATGAAAAAGAAATCTCCACAGGGCTCTTGCATGCGGCTGTTGAAGCCTCACAAAAGGTTCCCCCCTCCTTCTGGGCAAAATTTGAGTGGACCCATGTGGCACAGCCAACAGCTGAGAAAGGAAACCTGCTGTTCTTACAGCCAAAGAACAATTTTGGTGGTGAGCAGCATTTTTTTCTTTTTTGACATAGAGAAAAATCTGCCCAGAGCTATCAGAAGCTCCACTTTACAACATAAAATGCGGGTTTCTGGACTGGGTTGTTCATGACCATTGTGGTGAGAATCTCATCCCTTTTGCTACAGTCTTTCACCCTCAGCATTTGCAGAAGGCTAAGGTTGCCAGGCACTTAATCTCAGATACCTTCCAGAGAGTTGGTCATGCAAGGATTGAGATCTGGATGAGCTTTGAAACAAGGCGGAGGCGCTTCCAAGCACGGAGCCTCTGCCAGGCTTAGCGGGTGCTCTCACAAGGGAGGCCACCTTCCTTGCCCTTCTGAGAGATTGTCCAAACCTTTACACCCAAAAATTCAATTGTTACGTCCTTCAGGAATGTCAGAGAGACTTTGAAGTACCCAGATGACATCTCCAAGACACAGTGGCACACTTTTGTCGTCTCCACATTTTGTGGAGACAACGTGGAGAACAAAAACTTGCAAACATGAGAAAGATTCCTCTACGTGTTTCAGAGTAAGCCACCTGCCACCTTTCAACCCCTTATTTATAGCTTGGAAGCCCACTCTGATCATGACTGCTAAAAGGGAACCCCAATTTCAGAACAATGAGAACTATAGTAGAAGCCCTACTATAGTTGGGAACTCGGGGGGAGTTTCCCAAAGACAGCAAAGTCCTGTTAAAACAGGAATGGAGTCTTCGCCTGGTCAAGAGCTCATTTAAAGGGGGAAGCTTTAAAAGGAGCTCTTGGACCAGGTGAAGACCCCATTCCTGCTCTGGGGAATGACCTTCTCCCACATCCTTTCCCCATCTGTGTTCTAGAAAAGTGCTTCTGTGCTAAGGCAAATGGCTGAAAGGTGAACAGGGTGGGTGGGTGTACACTTTGTTGGACTTTCGCAAGGCAGCAGATGTTTCCCCTCCTCAAAAGTCTCCTTCCTGGTGACTTTGTCCGTGGGTCAGTAGACATAATTTCTTAAAGAGGTGCAGAAGTCATTCAATTTCATTGTACACATGTTGTGCATTGACAATAAAGGTTTGGTTTGATTTGAAGTGACCCTGGCCCTTAAGCCCACCCTCATTGTGGTGACTAAGTGACCCTTCTCTCCTCCTTCTGAAAAGAGCAGTGCGGTTATTGTGAGGAAATACAAGACAACATTACACAAGACAACCAGTCACAAACATACAGCAAGAGATGAGGACACAGCAAGTGCAGGACAGGGACAGCCGAGAGGGGAGAGTCTCAAATTAAGAAGCAAACGTACCATTAGTTGGATGCTTTGCAAATGACACAGAAAATCTCTTTATGGCTGGCATAGACAAGAGCTCTGGGGAAACAAGAAAAAACATCCCTTCAGTGCGGAGGGGCAGCTGGCCCCTGCCAAAGCTGCTGCTGGTGGGGAAACAAGGGAGGGACACAAAAGCGAAAAAGCTGGGCTAAGCTCACTGGATCCCCAAATTGTACTGAAAGGCAGGACAGTCTCTTCAGGACAGTATGGAGATCTGAGCCCAACCTGAAGAAAAGAAGACAGGACAGAGCGAGCTCTGTTGGCATCTCTTCCTAGCCTCTTCAGGCACAAGGAAACAGGGTTAGCGGCCAGCCCTTCCCCACCAGCCAAGCTCAACCAGGGCTCTGCAATCCAAGACAGGCTGGAGCGGGCCTTTGCAGACCAGTTACTGGCTGCATCCACTCCTCCTTAAAGCTCCTGAGCAGTTTTAAGGCTTATTTATAGGAGGTGGGATTAGTTTATGGTCTTATTGTGGTCAATTTATGGTTTGGTGTGTTATATGAACCCAGAAAGCGGATTAACTCAGTAGCCACTTAATACCAGCTATGCCAGGACTGCCTTGGTGTCCAATTGCTTCCTTCAGTCCTGTTCAAGGCAGCAATTCCACAACAAAATCTGGAGGACTCTTGCATCACCCCTGGCAACCTAAGAGCCACTTTTGGCATCAGAAGCCAGATTCCCCTGATGGCCCATCATCCACAACGTCTCCCAGACCTTCAGACTGACCACACAGTAGAGCTCTTGAAGTCTCCTCCAAAATTGTACTCTTTAGACTAACAACATCCAACCCAAATGCAGACCGACTGGCACTTTGCTTGAAGAGGTTCAAAGCAGAAAGGAGCTGCAGAATCAGGGGAGGGCAGGGGTACAACTTTGGGTTTCTTTAGGCAGGAGACCACCTCCAGCTTTTTAATCAGGGAGGGGGCACTTCTTCTGGGCTGACCTCAGGGGACCTGGGCTCCTCTGTGACACACACACCCAGCCCTCCTCCCTGCTGGTTCCCAGAAGCCTTCAGGGACTGAAGTGGAGACGCCCCCAAGGCCATTTATACTGGAAGCACCAGGTTTCATTTATTACTTTATTCTTTTTATAAATATCTCAAGACAGCAAATGTACTTAATGCTCTCCACTCCTACCCTTTTCCCCTCAACAACAAACCTGTGGGATGAGTTGGGCTGAGGTGGAGTGACTGGCCCAAAGTCATCCAGATGGCCTTCACACCTAAGGCAGGACTCAAACTCACCATCTCCTGGTTTCTAGGCCACCATCTGACCCACTAGGCCAAACTGGCTAAACTTTCTGACTGACCAAACTTTCTTGGACTATAGGACTTTTTATTAGTACTGGCAATTTATTTATATTAAGCCTGGTACTGAAATACAGCGTATGCCATAGAGAATCAGGTTCAAATGAAGTGGCCTTCAGACGGAATAATAATTAAATATCTCTGAAGAATGTAATTCCTTGTCCTCCAATCATCCTCACCCCCCTTCTTTGAACTTGTTCTAGTTGCTGGATCCTTCTTCATAACTAACTAGGTTTTCATAACTAGGTGCTTCAAAAAGTTTTTACAGATGCAAGTTATCCTTGCAAATACGCATTGAGAAATTTCCCAAAGGCCTTGTATGGCCATGAGCCTCTTTGGGGGCCCTCTCAGCCGCCAATAGCAATAGCAATAGCAATAGCAGTTAGACCTATATACCGCTTCATAGGGCTTTCAGCCCTCTCTAAGCGGTTTACAGAGTCAGCATATCGCCCCCAC